CTAGAAGAAACGTATCCCAAAATTTTAAAGAAAGAAATATATATACAAAAATAAGGTTAAATACAACAAAGGGATAGAATATGACTGTAAAAATGAAAATTAAGATTTTTTAAAAGGAATTGGTAAGAAGTTGGTTGGAAAGGGAAAGATGAAAAATTTTAAAGAAAAAAAAATTAAAGTTGAAAGACTAAAGAATCATGGGGGGAAAGCCATGAATTCTATGTGCTGTATTCCCCTAGCTCTGGAGTTCTGCCATTCTCATTGATCGGTACTTCGTCTTGGCTGGCTGTTCTTGCTGATCTTCTGGGGGAGGGGACTGTTGCCATGGTTCCCAAATGTCTTTGCCAGAGGTGGAATTGCCCTGCACTTGCTGGTCCGGGCTAAATAATCTGCTCAGGTTTGCTCTCTGGAGCTTTTGTTCCCTCCAACGTTTCTGTACAACTTTGGAGGACGAGAGTGAAAATGGTGGCCTCCCAATCTGTGCCCCGGAGGAGCCGAGAACTCGGGTCCCCACTCCTCAGAGAGCCCCCAGAGAAATGCAGTCAATCACTCCCATCTCCCTGGTCTCCAGCAGCACTCCGTGCTCGCCTGTAACCAAGCGTTTCTATCTCTGGCACCCGACCGCATGTGGAGTCTCCAAACCCAGCAGATCCCTGCGGTGCACTCCCGTGCTGCTCCTCCTTGGGGGAGGAAGTGGAGTCTCCCCAGATCTGCCGCTTGTTGGGTCCCTGCTGGAGGAGCACTGGGCCGCGGATCACAGTTTATGGCAACCCCGAGCTGAGAGCCCACTCCTCAGCTCTGCCTCTGCAGCCGGCTTCCCCGCTCCGACACCTGGGAGCTCTGCTGCACTCAGTCACCCCCAGTCTTTCTGTGACCCTGAGGGTCCTGAGACCACACTGTCCCAGTGAGGGTTCCAACCCCCTGCTTAGCCACTGGAGCGACGTCCCTCAGCAGAGCCGACTTCTAAAAGTTCCAATTTTATGCTCTGCTGCTCTATCATTTGCCAGTAGCCGGCTCAGGAGGCTCCCTCCCCCCGCAGTCTATCTTCCCGTATGTTGCCTCCAATTCACTTCTCCGCACGTCCTACCTTCCAAAAAGTGGTCGCCTTTCTATTCGTAGAGTTGCAGGTATTCTTTTCTTCGATCTCCAGTTGAGTTTGTAGGTGTTCAGAATGATCTGATAGCTATCTAGCTGAATTCTTGGGACCAGATGGAATTAAGGTCTCCTCCTCCTCTGCCATCTTGGACTCTTCTCGGTGTTAATTTTTCTTTAAATATTTGGTAGAATTCTCCAGTGAAGCCATCTGGTTCAGGGATTTCCTTGTTGAGAGGTTTTTGAGTACTCCTTAAATTTCTTAACGAGTTACATAGTTGTTTGGATTGCCTGAACTGATTTCCTATTTCTTCATCATTCAGTTTTAGTAGATTGGGAGTGTCTAGGAATTTATTTCGCCTAGGTTATCCAGTCTATTGGTGTAGCATTGTTCATTCTCTTATCCTCTTTATTTCTGTGGTTTCAGTTGTAATGTCTACTCTTCCATTTACAATTTTATTTCTGTAAAGTCAGTTGTAATATCCCCTTTCATTTCTGTTAGTTATTTGAGTCTTTTTTTTTTTTCTTAGTCTGGGTGAAGTCAATTTTGTTGATCTTTTCAAAGAACCAACTCCTGGTTTCATTGATTTTTCTCTACTGTTATTTTATTCTCTATTTCATTTATCTCTGCTCTAATCTTTAGTATTTCCTATTTTCAACTAGCTTTGGGTTTAGTTCTCTAGTTATAAAGTTGGGTTACGATTTGAGATCTTTATTCTTTTTTTTTTTTTTTCATCCAGCACAATTCTATTTAATGGAGGTGGGCAGCAGGATGTTCCACTATGATTAATTTAGTCCAGGGACCTGTCAACATTCGGTAGAGAAGAAGCCACCATCATTCTTTTGGGAGTAGCCTCCAATGGTGGCTGCAGTGTGAGGGGACACTATGGATCCCTGGAGGCTGTGGATAGACTCCTTCTTAGGGTTGATCCAGTGTCTGATGTTAGCTCGGGAAGTGATGGAAGGTGGCGGAGGAGGGGGTAAAAGTTCTCCAGGGCATTGGGTCTTGATGATTCCATGGGTATCCTGGGTGGTCTCCTGGTGTAAGAGTATCTCACTTTTGTTCTTGAATGTCCCTGTGTGGTGGTTGTACAAGGCTGCTAAGCGGAAATCCAGGTCATCCTTTGGTATCTCAGGATCAAAAAAATAAATATCCCGCCTCATGGAGGTGATTGTGGGAGCTGAGCTGAGCCGACTCCAGGGTTCCTGTTGCTGAGCAAGGTGAGCTGGGTTCTTATATGGCAGTTTCTTGGAAGCCCTGAGTTTTCCCAGGAAGCTATCATCGTTATCCAACATAGGGTGCTGGAAGGGGTCTCGGGTGAAAGGCATGGTAAAATACGGAGTGAACCACTGGTGTGAGGGATGGGAAGCCCGCGCAACCGCACACAACTCTTTATTCTTTTTTAATGTAAGCATTTATAGCTATACATTTTCCCCTTAGCATTGCTTTGACTACATCCCATAAGTTTTGGTACGTTGTGTTTTCATTGTCATTTATCTGAAGATATTTTCTAATATCTTCAATTTCCCTTGTGATTTCTTTTTTGACCCATTGGTTAAGAGTATGTTGTTTAATTCCCACATATTTATGGATTTTCCAATTTTCATTCTGTTGTTGATTTCTAGTTTCATTTCATTGGGAACAGGAAAGACCATTTGTATGGCTTCAATCATTTAAAATTTACTAAGACTTGTGGCCTAACATGATTTATTTTGGAGAATGTTCCATGTATAAGAAAAATGTGTACTTGGGCACACCTGGGTGGTACAGTCGGTTGAGCACCGACTCATGATTTTAGCTCAGGTTGTAGTCTCAGCATGGTGAGATTGGGCCCCCATCGGCTCGGGCTGTACACTCAGCACAGAGTCTGCTTGAGTTTCTCTCTCCCTCTCTAATATAAATAAATAAATCTTTAGGGGAAAAAATGTGTATTTTGATTTTGTTGGGTGGAATGTACTATATGTCTTTTGGGTCCAGTTGGTCTGTTGGGTTGTTCAAGTACTGTTCTCATTGCTCTTCTTTCTGGTTGTTATATCCATAGGTGAGGTATTGAAGTCTACTATAATTGCAGAGTTTTTTTTTTTTTTTCTTCCACCAGTTCTGTCAGTATATTTAGGAACTGATGTTTGGTGCATATATAATTGTTATAATTCCTTGGTGAATCGAGCATTTTATTATATAATGGCTTTTGTCTCTCATAACTGTTTTGACTTAAAGTCTATTTTGTCTGATATTATAGCCACCCCTGTCCTCCTTTGGGTACCATTTGCATGCAGTATTTTTTTTCATCCTTTCAGTTTTCAATATATGTCCTTAGATCTAAAGTGAGTCTCTTGTAGACAGTATACAGTTCAATCTTATTTTTTAAATCCAATCTAGGGGAAGTTTCATTTATTTACATTTCAAGTTATTACTGATGGGGAATAACTTCCTATTACCATTTTGTATTTTCTGTCTTAAAGCTCTTTTGTCTGTCATTTAAATGTCTTAATTTCCTAGGAATCTCAGCCCTGCTTCTTCTCAGGGCCTTAAGATGTTGTATTTTACTTCTCAATAAATAATCCTGATAATCTCTTGTCCCTAGGCATTCATGGTTCTGCAGACCCCCTCTAGGCCCCATGTGCAGCAGTTCTCACCACTGCTTCCAGCAGCCTCCAACCTTATATATAAACTGTGCCACCATTCCATCAGTGCTCTGAGTCAGGCGAGACAGTCCCTCAAGCATTCCCCACACAAGTCAGAACATTACCAGCAAGTTCTACTCTTCTTTCTACAAATTGAAAGTCTTCCTTCCATTATGCCAGGAGGGTAAGGGAAAAGGATGAGCATAAATGCCATGAAGTTTCCTGTCATTTTGAATGTGGCTATTTCTTGGTTAGGTGTTTGCTTGGTTGTTACTGCTGCTATACTTCTCACAACACTACACTGTATCTTCACTGTTTCCATGTGTGTTTGTTGGGGGACAAGGGCCTGAACTTCCTAATCTGCCATCTTGGTGACATCACTATGAATTATCTTTTAAAGAAATTTATTTAAAAAAGAAGTCTACTGATATTTATGTTATTATTTCTGGTACTTTTTTTATATGTGTGTATGTAGATTCAGATTTCCTTCTGGTATCATTGCCCTTTTGCAAGAAAGGCTTCCTTTAACATTTCTTTAAGATCTTCCTGTACTTAAATTCTACTAACCTGTCAGAGTTCACTGGTCCTTTTTCTGCATTGTCCAAATTGATGCAGAGCTCATTCAGATAATTTTTGCCAAGATTACAAACTCTCCCTTGTCAGGCCTGTGGCTGAATTCTCTGCTCAGCTCTTTAGACCACAGCTGTTGTCTTTCATGTGTTTCTAGGGGGGGTCTCACCCTGCACATGGGGTATTTAGGCGTCTGCCAAGGATTTGAGGGAATTTTGAGGGCTCCATTCTTTCTAGGATTTCTACCACCCTGGCAACCCTGTTGTCTTATTCCTCAGACCGGGAAGACTGCTACTTTTTCCTCAAGGTCTATCTCCTGTGAACCCATGAAGTAGAAAATGCTTTCAGAAGCCATCTGAAATGTGGACTTCAGCTAGTATACTTCCCTTTTTTCAAGGATCATATCACCTCCAGTTTCTGCTTACTACTGATTACTCATCTATACCTTCAAGTATGTTTTTGCTACCCCTAGAAGAGTTGGTCTACTGCAAACTGCCATTACTGGAATTAGAACTGAATGATTTCTAAAATGTTTAAAATCTGTGAGACATGAATATTATTAAAAGTTATCAATGTTAAAGTTATTCAGTAATGCAAAGAATAAAATATAAAATTTTATATTTCAGTTAAAGATAGTTATTACTAATGTGACGATATTCTTTATAATTTTTTCCAATAAAGACTGATGACTATATGGGATTTTCTTTTTGCAGGATATAGCCAATGAGGAACACAAAAAAATTGAAGCATTAAAATCAGAAAACAAGAAGCTAGAAAAACAGAAAGGAGAATTAGTGATAGGGTTCAAGAAACAATTAAAATTAATTGATGTTTTAAAAAGGCAGAAGGTGAGTCTATCCTTAAAAAACACAGTTAAATCATAGATATTATTTGGGCCACTCTACTAAAAGTTATTTGTACTTTAGATATGTTTAGTATTTTGACATGCTCAGGCACAAAATTTTATCTATATTACATAAGATTTATATATAAAGTGTTATCCAAGCTAGAATTCGAGTATACATTCCAACAGAGCTTATTAATTTGACAGCATATTTATACATACACTTTTATCGATTTCCTGTTGTTCTGTAGTCTACTCTTAATACTAAAACAATATTGGTTTGTTACAAATGCAGATGCATATTGAAGCTGCCAAGATGCTGTCCTTCACCGAAGAGGAATTTATGAAGGCAATTGAATGGGGAAATTCATAAATGATCTACTTTATAATTAAAGTATACAGAATTTGTATGTCTGTATAACTGTATGATCCATATACATTTTATTTTACTATAGTTTTAATGACATTTTTACTCTTTATAAGTAATGAAGATATTTGGTAATGAAATCAAAGCAACTCCAGTGAATTCCCTGTTCAGATTTAGGGGATACAAAATTGATATGTAATTATTAGAAAAGTAATATTTTGTAAAATAATGGGATTTAACTTTTGATTCTTATGACCCACTTACACTCTAATGTAAACTACTTTATGTTCTGGAGATTCAGCTCTAGTTCATAAATGATAAATTTATTTGATACAAATTCTGTTTTTAAGTTTTTATTGACAATAAAGCACTTTGAAATTCTTCACTCTTAACTATTCTCTTTCCTTATAGTAGAAAGAAAAAGATACTTTGGCTGGCCAAATCCCGGAAGTAAAGTTCCTAAAACACAAATACCAATGGAACTGTAGTCTGAATGGCAATGCAGAAAAAGCTCTGAGCAGCAGGAGTAGTATGGAGAAGTTAGTCTCCTGGGTTTGGCCTCTAATGTATTTATATTTATATAGACTGTCCTGATGTGGTGTAGAACTCAGATCTTCAAATTATCATCAGTACAAGAACGAGTTTAACTAAAAGCAATTTTGTAGCTTAATTTTTTATCAGAAAAATATTATGAATTACAGAGACACTTTAGAAAATCTAAATAGATTAGTAAAACAAAAGTTACAGTGACATCTAGTGGTAAAAACAGTCCAGGTTTTACCAAATCTTGATGGTGTCACTGCGCTTCACAAATTTCACTCCTTTTCTGATACACTTTCCTAAACTCTTCACCAAGCATATCGATATCATCCTCTTTTTTAAATACTCCCTACAAGAAAAATATTTTGTGGGTTACTTCAAATGCCAGAGTATTTCACCAAATGCTTGTAAGACTAACAAAGATATAGACTACATATTTGTGAAATTATCTCCAAGATAATGAAATCTAATAGGTTTATGAAAAATATCACTGTTCTCTAAAATTATGACTCGATAGGTATACTGAATATTCTTTGACTGATTCCCTGACTTATCTATCAGCTCCAGTATAAGAATTTGTAATAGGAATCTGGGCTCTTCTACCTTACTACTGCAGGTCACCACTGCTAGGATTGGCTGAATGAGAAAGAATTTAACAAGGTCAGGGTAAAGGGACCGGCTCTTGCCTCCTTCCATGGCTGATCAGCAAACCTTCAAACTTGCATGAAAGGCTCCAGGTTTGGAGTTATGCCATCTAAGCAAGCCCTTTGAAATTCTCCATGCTTTTATTTACTTTTCTTTTCTCTTATACAGTAAAAGGCTGTTAAATATTTACTTATATAATTTAAAGGAGCTAAAGAATAATTTAGGTCATTTGGGGCTATATCAGGTTTTTAGGTTCTCCCCATCTCCACAATTATTTACTTTTAAAAATATCTAAATCCCAAACTCTCCAGAATTTATAGTCTTTTTAAAATTAATACATCACTTCATATTAATCCTATCAACCAATTAGACTATAACATCCTGTGGACAAGCAATAATTACTCATTTCCCTTTCTCCTTCCTTAGCACTGCACTGAAAACAAAATACACACTTGATTCTTCCAAATCAATCAAATGACATTTCTATATCTGAAGGATGGAAATTTTATTTACATGCATCCAGATGTTTATATGGCTTATGAAACTCAATTGTTACTTCATTTAGAGTCAGAATGTATCTCACTTATACATGAAAATGTTATCTTTTGGAAGTACTTTTAAAAAACAGGTTACCTAGTACTTATTTATAACCTCCCATTAGAAAGCAGATCTGTCTGGGACTCGGTTCAAGCACATGTCTGTTAGCAGTGTTACCAATTACAAGATTTTCCTGTATGTCATCAGCTTTAGTGTACAAAGTATCACTACTGCTTTAGGGTACTTTAGTTTTAGACTTCCAAAATTTAAATTCAGGAAATCTAGCTCCTACTTCTAAGAATGTGCCAAGACCAACTCTCATTTTAAAGACAGGTGTCACTGATTGCCTAAGATCCCACTACTGCTTTTAACAGCCAGAAGTAAGTGAAACCCAGGCCCTCTGAAATCCTAATTAGCATGTATTATCCCCACTATTGGAGGTCAAGAAGATTATACCTTGAGTTAAATCTCACTTACTTTAGGGAGATATCCTAGTAACTTTGTTGCATGTTCTTTGAGAAGTTTTAGTCTTTCTTCTTCAATAATTGCATTAATACATCCTTGTCTTCTTTGCTGCAACTGCCATTCTTCCAGTTCACGTTGCTGGAAATGTAAATAAAATTTTATTGTCACAGGATACATTAATCTTTTAAGAAGTCATCAAATAAAACTATTCTCGCAGTGAATTAGATAAAATTGATGAACTATTTTTTATGCTAACTTCAGAAAATACTACATAGTATATATATAACATATTTCTATCTTTTACAGTCACTATTCCCTTGAAGTTACAAAAACAATAGTGGCTCAGTCGTTAAGAGTCTGCCTTCGGCTCACGTCATGATCCCAGGGTCCTGGGATCGAGCCCCGCATCGGGCTCCCTGCTCGGCGGGAAGCCTGCCCTCTCCCACTCCCTCTGCATGTGTTCCTGCTCTCGCTGTGTCTGTCAAATAAATTAAAAAAATCTTTAAAAAAAAATAGTCATGCCTGGGATTTCAGGGAGGCAAGTATATATTTTTAGGACAATATCTTCATCACCAAGGAAAAAATTTTCAAAGAAAGGATTTCCTAATTAATTCACATATTTATGTAATGTTTACCATATGCCAAGTGCTGAAGGCCGCTTACAGTATAAAACAAAAGCTGGATAAAACAGAATAGGGATATCTAAAAGGTAAATATTTCCATATATGTTAAGATTTTTAAGAGCCTGTATGAAGCACAAGAGTAGCAGCAAGAGTTCCAACAGAAGAATCAGTGTTTCTCAGGAGAGAGTTCTGAATACTCTTATATAACCACACCAAGCTTCTGTGCCATATACTATGGAAGAGAGGACCAGCTTTAAAAAATTTTAGGGCTTAGGGGCACCTGGATGGCTCAGTTGGTTAAGCGACTGCCTTCGGCTCAGGTCGTGATCCCGGAGTCCCGGGATCGAGTCCCGCATCGGGCTCCCTGCTCAGCAGGGAGTCTGCTTCTCCCTCTGACCCTCCCCCCTCTCATGCTCTCTGTCTCATTCTCTCTCTCAAATAAAAGCTTTAAAAAATATTTTTTAAAAAAAGTTCTAGGGCTTAAAAGAACTCTTACAGTGCTGTACCCAAATAATCCTATTGGAAAGGGAAGGGTGCTAAAGGCAGACCATTGAAGCAGTGAATTTCTACCTAGAATTAAAGTAGTATTAATGCTAAGCTTGTTTTTGCAATAACCATAGTTTCTTAGGGTCCATTTCTTCAGACCACTCTTTGTCAAAGTCTTGCAAACTAGAAAAGAGTATGTCTATTTTTCTACAATGGGAGGCAAGCTTTTACATTACCTAATAACTCTTCATAGTTACCAGATGAAGCTAAAGAAGGATGCTAGGACACATCCATATCCAATGCCACTTAAACCTGTAATTGCTTCTCATAAGAATATTTTGTAGACTATGATATGATCGGCATTACAGAATCAGAAACAGCATTGATACAGCTAATTGAGAAAAGACACTCTCACCCATCTTGTTCCTGAATCAGCGTTATCAGCTCTTATTTATGTTATCTCTAAGATCAAATAGGGTAATAGAATCTGCCATGGAATTGTTATACCTGAATTTTTTTTTGAAACTACATTCTAAGTCTACCTTACAGTAAGGTGTGGTCAAATAGGACTTGGTTTCTGCCAATGGAATATAAGCAGAAGTATCATATGCAGATTCTGAGAATCAATCTCATATACTCACTTTGTCCCTTCTTTACCTTTTCCATCTGCCGCTTGAAACATGAAGGGGGAAGATCCAACTTAGACCATGAAGATAAAGACTATACCCTGTAGAAGCCACAGTGAAAAGCTAGGCTGAACCTGGTTCCTGAAGACTGAAAAAGCCTCCATCCAGCCCTGAATTGCCTATCTTTAGACTTTTATGTGGGAGAATAAACTCCCCCTATCTACTAAGCCACTATTAATTTGGTACTCTGTACCTGTAGCCAAACCTAATCCTAACTGTTCTGTTCCTTACAAAAAGGAGATGCAAGAAAGTTCTATGGTGTTTGGAGGAAAGCTCACTTGTTAGGTTTTTGTCCAATGATGTACAGTCTCTAATTTGGGTAGAATACAAGATTTCTCTTCTTAGGATGTGGTAAACACATTAAATATCCTAATAAACATTTTTATAGTAAATTAGGATAAAGAGTATGGAAAAGTCTGAATCAATTTGTCCATTTAGAACAAATTCTGCATAGCTGGTAGTAGGAAACTATTTCCTGGGGAGTTTCAGATTTTTGTCTGACTAACCATATGAATTTTTTAGAGCTAGACAGAATTGTAGATACTACTTTAGGAATATCTCTAAAGGGGCGCCTGGGTGGCTGAGTTGTTCAGCGTCTGCCTTCAGCTTGGGTCGTGGTCCCAGGGTCCTAGGATCGAGCCCCGCATGGGGCTCCCTGCTCAGCAGGAGTCTGCTTCTCCCTCTCCCACTCCCCCTGCTTGTGTTCCCTCTCTTGCTGTGTCTCTCTCTGTCAAATGAATAAAACCTTTAAAAAAAAAAAAAGTATCTCTAAAATCTAAAAAAACAGTTACAGCCTTATAGGATTAGAAAGGAATGGGGGATTAAAATCGTAAAAATCCACCCTTGCCCTTGGGACGTGACCCAGTCTCACGGACGCTTGAAGCACACAGCTTCATACTAGGAATATTTACATTAGAGAAAATTAAGATAAATTGTTTGAAGTATCTATGCTTTAGGTAGTTTTATCTGATTTCCATTTACAGTTGTCTTGCTAACTTTTCTAGGAGCTTTCTAATTAGCTCTGTAAGCTGTGAGATGGGATGGTTCGTCACTGTTTCTACCTCTTTCTAGGCAAAGAGTATTCAAAGCCTTCTGATCAGTTTCAAAAGCCTTCTAATTTTCATCCTCCTTGACTGCTCTGCTTGTTTGACAGTGTTGTTCACCCTCACTGAATCAACAAACATTATTTTCCACATGCTAGGCAAAATGCTAGGTGTTTATAGGTTAACCCTTAAAGGTTAGAGTAAATCATGATTGGTTTATATCAAAGCTAAGGAATTGGGATTTAATGCTGCAATCCACTTAAGTTTAAGCAGGAGGAAGACATAATGAGTTTTTTTAAACCCATAGTAACTAGTGGCAGATGGACTGGAGAACAGTAGATGACCATTTCAGTAGTCCACAGGAATGGTATTAAATGTCTGAACTAAGTTATGAAGAAAAGAAACTGGATGTAAGACTTATTGCTGAGGTGAAGTCAATAGAATTTGGTGGCTGACTAAAAATTACTAGATAGGAATGAGTAAAAATCCAGGAATGATTCCAAGGTCATAGACACGGGTGACCAACTGAATATGTGGTCTTTAACCAAGACTCAGGCTACAGAAATTGGAA